ATCAGAGTCACCCAGTATGTTTGTTAGTACTGAGTCAGAAACTCTGGACAGGGATCTTCTTATGTGTGTAAGTTAAGTCCACCAAGATATTTCAGAAGTATACTCATGTGTGGAACCACTGAACTCTTGAAGAGCATAAACCATCCAGACCCATTCATTCCAATTTTTTTTGCCAGTTCTGGGGCTTGAATTCAGGGCCTGGGTGCAATCTCTAAGCCTCTTTGTGTTCAAGGCTAGCGCTCTACTGCTTGAGCCACAACATCACTTCCAGCTTTTTCTGAGCAGTTTATTGGCAATAAGAGTCTCACAGACTTTTCTAGCTGGGTTGGCTTTGAATTTTGAGCCTCAGATTTCAGCCTTCTGAGTAGCTAGGATTACAAGCCTGAGCCACCCAAACGCAGCTCATTCACTACAGGTTTGACAAGCATATTGTATCATGCCTGTCTGAGGTTTTCCTATATGACTGTTCATTTTATTTGTTTATTAATAAGAGGGTATGTACCAGCTGAAGAATTTTATTAACTCTTTGAATCTCTGTAGAAATTGTACTTTCCAAGTGTCAAGTTGTAGATAGCAAGTGATCCTTGTGCATTTACTAACATTAATTTTAAAGGACTGTCTCGTGTGTGTGGTGGGGGAGGGGGGGTGCGCGTGCGCGTGCTTGCATTGGGGACTGAACTAAGGGCCTGGGCACTGTTCCTTAGTATTTTCACTCAAGCCTGGCGTTCTACTATTTAAACCACACCTCCAACTTTTAGCTTTTTGCTGGCATATTGGAAATAAAAGTCCATGATCTTCCAATCTCAGCCTCCCATGTAGCTAGCTAGCACTGGAAGCATAAACCATCTCACCTGGCTTCTCATTTGCTTTGTGTCCAGTTGTTTGGTTTTGTATTTCTAGTCGCTGGCATAGTAAGAAGTACTTTTCTTCAATCTGCTGAATAAAAGAACCTGTAGATACTGCCTTGACTGTCACTTTGTATGTAACAAAATAGAAGGTTAGAAGATATACAAATAGTTATAAATTATTTTTTGTTTGTTTTTTTGTTGCTAGTACTGGGGCTTGAACCCAGGACCTCATGTTGTTACTTAGCTTTTTTCACTCAAGGATAGCACTCTACCACTCCATTTCCAGCTTTTTACTGGTTAATTGGAGATGAGTCTCAAGGACTTTTCTGTTCAGGCTGGCTTGGAACCAGGATCCTCAGATTTCAGCCTGCTGAGTAGCTAGGATTACAGGCCTGAGCCACCAGTGCTTGGCTATAAATTAGTTTTTGTCTGCCTATCTCCAATAAAAGATACAGGGAAGTCTTAGAGCAGCTAAGATCCAAGCCACAGGCTGCAAGGGTAGCAAATGGCCTAGTCAGCAATTTCTTCTCAGCCTGCTAATCCAGAATTGAGCAACACTTTACTCAGCTATAGCTGAGCAAATACCCTTACTGAGGGGCAAAGAAAAAAAACCCATCACATTTCCCTTCATAAGTGTGCAATTCTAAAGTACTTTCCTTCAGTGACTTCTATCTGAGGTCTAGGTCTGTTTGGCAGGTATTCTCAAATCATCTTCCTTCTTTGTCACTATGAAGGCCTCCCTCTGCTTACAGAGGGGCAGGGATATGAGAGGTAAAAATTGGGACTAGGGTCCAATCTAAATGACCCAACTGCCCCCTCTTTGTATACTGGAGTCCTGTCTGGGCAGTGTTCATTTGTTTTCAAAGCCCTTCCCCCCTTACATATTGAGATCTGAGAAGCTTTACTGGAGGATGTATCACTGGAGATAGCTGTAATATGGTGGAGCTGGAAGGGGAGTAAGATAAATGCAAGTTGTCCAGACAAGGCTTACTTTTATATGTGGCTTTGTGGCCAAGGTACAATCTTGTCTTCCTGTCTTCCTTTCTTTGTTGTACTCTCTCTGGGTTCTACCATTAAAATGCAGATCAAAGCCGGGCGCTGGTGGCTCACACCTGTAATCCTAGCTACTCAGGAGGCTGAGATCTGAGGATCGCGGTTCAAAGCCAGCCCGGGCAGGAAAGACCGTGAGACTCCTATCTCCAATAAACCACCAGAAAACCGGAAGTGGCGCTGCAGCTCAAGTGGTAGAGCGCTTGCCTTGAGCTGAAGAGCTGAGGGACAGCGCCCAGGCCCACAGTTCAAGCCCCACGACCGACAAAAAAAAACAAAAACAAAAAAACAAAAAAAAATAAAATGCAGATCAAAATCAATAGAGCCATTCTGACTGAAGCAGACTGGTACATGCATGTGATATCTGGGTTATTTTCAGTAGAAGTGGCCTCATTGGGATTCCCAGGACCACTGAGATGTTCTTATCCTTCCCAAATTTCTGTCAAAGTATAATATAGAGTAATTCTGTAGGAAGGTAAATGGCCAGTAAGGTAGGGGAACTACCTCTCAGGCCATCAAGGGCCTTCTCATTCCTCATTTGCTACTTAAACATCAACCAGAAAAAAATAGGTTATTTGGCTATTTCCTCTTTAACCTACTTCCAAACCCAAATCCCCATGTTCCTTGGCCACATCTGTTAGTGATTTCATTTTTGTCTCTCCTGCAACTTTGGATATGTACTTCTTATCACTTTGTGTGAATATGACAGCACTGGGGCTCGGACCTAGAGCTTAAGCGCTGTCTTTTTTTTCTTCCCTCAAGTCTGGTGCTCTACCACTTAAACTATAGCTACACTTCGGACTTTCTTTTGGTAGTTAATTGGAGTACAAGTCTCACAGACTTTCCTGCCTGGGCTGGCTTCAAACTGTGTCCTCAGATCTCAGCCTCCTGAATAGTTAGGATTACAGGCATGAGCCACCAGCACACACCTCCTTCATCTCTTTATACATGTTATTCAAATTCCACATCTAAATTTTCAATATGTGCACAGGTCCAAATTTCAAGGTACTGAATTCATTAATTCATTTTGAACAAATTGCCTTGAAAACTCCATAGCAAGACAAACTAATATTCAAAAGTCATCACAATTTGATGGGGGTCATATTATGTCATGAGGCTCTTTCTCAAGGTATTTATAAGCAGAGCTCGTCTGTCTCCACAAAAATAAAAATTCTCATGTGGCATGACTTAAGGGATAAAGCACCTGCCCAGCAAGTGTGAGGCACTGAGTTAAAACTTCAGTACAACAAAATAAAAAATGAAAAATACAAACAAATCTCACCTGAAACGAGTCTTCCATTCCGGCTGTGGGGATGTGGCAGGCAGAGAGCCATGTGATTGGCAGTCATCTTCCCACTCACCTTCATAGATATTATGTACACTTAGGAACTGCTATATCTTCAGTAATTCCTACGTTGAAAAGTAATCCCCAATACAACAGTATTACGTATATCCCTTTGGAGGTGATTAGGTCAAGAGTCATTCAGCCATCAAATATGCCAGTTTTCTTATAAAAGGACTAGAGGGAACCTAGCCAGGTCCCTGTTTGCCTTTCTGTCCTTCTACCAACATAATATTGGACATAATGTTCCTCTCTCTGGAGGCAGCAGAGTACTATCTTGGAAAAAAGCAGCAGCCCATGGTCCAGACACCTCTAAAGCAGTGGGAAATAAGATCTGTTCCTTTTAAATGACTCATTTCAAATGCTTTGTTGTATAGCACAAGAAGACTAAGACAGGGGCCAAGTTGGAAACTGCTTTAGGATTCTTGCTAAACTGTCAACAGTTTAAGTTAACAACTGCTAAGCGGTTGCTATGGTTTGAACTTAAATATTCCTTAAAGATATGCCTTAATAGACTTAGTGTGAATGACACGCTTATGGCTGATGCCTGTAATCCTAGCTATTCAGGAAGCTGAGATCTGAGGATCACGGTTCAAAGCTATCCCATGCAGAACAGTCGGTGACACTCTTATTTCCAGTTAACTATGAAAAACCAGAAGTGGAGCTGTGATGCAAGCTCAGGAACAGCACCCAGACCAAGTTCAAGCTTAGGACGGGTGCACGCACATGCACACACACATCCCCCTCCCCCCAAATGATTTAGTGAATATGGCACTTTAAAAAATAGTGAAACCTCCAGGTGAAGTAGAAGGAAGCTCTGTCTCTGTCACTGAGTGTACATTTTTTTCCCAGTGCTTGACTCAGGGCCTCTCTCTCTCGCCTGGCTTTTTTGCTCAAAGCTGTCACTTTACCTGTTGGGCAGCTCTACTTCCACTTCTCAGGGTGTGTGTGTGTGTGTGTGTGTGTTGCAGAAGGTGCAGGGGAAGGGACGGTGGTGTGCTCTTGAAGGGGATACTGGGACCCTGGCCCTTTCCTCTCACTTTGCTTGTAGGCAAGCAGCTTTCCTCTTGTGAGAGGTTTATGGAGAAACTAAACACTAATCAGGCCCAATCTGAGGGATGTGGCCACTATGGCTCGCAGGGGAGAAACAGGGCCAAGTGATTCATAGCCCTCCTACTTGTACTACAAGGAAGGGTGGAAGAATGAGATTGCTAAGCAAGTAGACTGTAGTCCCCATAGGTTCTCTAATAACCAAAGCCACCAGACACCATTCTTCAGTGGCAGAGACATGATGTGCAATAGCTGTCACTATCGAATGGTCAAAGTATGCTGTCTCATGGAAAAGGTAAACGAATGTGGTGTATTCTATATAGGTGTACTGTAGTGCAACATACTGAGGTGAGCTAAGGGCCACTGGATGAGGGGCAGCATTACCACATATATAAGAGGAGTCAGCTTTACTTTCAGCTGCTGTTTCCCACTTTCTACCCAGTCCCCCACACTGCCAACTTCCATGTCTCCACTCTTCCATACACTGTATCTGGGCTTCCATCCACAATCTAGCTATTTTTTCTTATTGAGCATCTCATTTCTTAAGCCATTCCCTGTAGCCACATGCATTTCACATATTACCTTTGGGAAAGATACATTGATCACATTATATTACAGCACTGGGCACTTAATGAGAGCTTGATGAGTGAGGGAATGGGTGGAAAACACATTATTGACAAGGTAAATAAGGTAAATAACAGAAGTCACTCTCACGTTTAACAAACATTTATTAAAACAAAAAAAAATGAGTAAGGCATGGCCCTCTGTTTTCAGGATGCCTGGTGAAGAGAGGCAGACAATCACAAAGCTACAGTAGGATCACAGTAGAATAAGTACTATCACCAAGATATGGACAATGTACTTTGGAGGCACAGTAAGTAGGATAAAGATGGGGAGGGAGGAACAATTATCTAACTTATACTGGCCTACAATATCCAAGGCAGAGAAGTCATCTGTGAGGGCTTAGAGGAACCACTAGGTGAATGGTTAAGGAAGCCTTAACCAGCCATGTGGGCTGGGGCTCAAGAGACCTATAAAAGGCCAGGAAAGTGAGGGGTTCAGGGAACCAGGCATGAGTGAAAGGGATAAGGAAATAAAAAGGGAATAAGGAATGAGCAGAAGGACTGCTAAGCACAAACCCATAGCTCTACTGCAGAAATAAAAAAAAAAAAAGAATTTTCCCATGAAGGGAAAGACTCAAAGCAGAGAGGGTAGGCCACAGGTCCTCAGACATGGGTCCCTACCACCTCCTCAGTCAGGCCAGGAAGTTCAAATCCCAAAAGCAGAGCTTCACAGTTGTAATCTGATTTCACTAAGCTGCACAATTATCACAACCCACCTATCAGAAGCTATGAAACAAACAAAACAAAATTAAAAAAAACATTTAAACGCATTTCTGAAAGGCAAAGTCCCTAAAGTCTTTATCTTTGTCAAATGAATTGATTTGTCTAAATAGCTCTACTTCCTTTAGGAAATTAGAAGGAGCACGAATCTGAGAGAGAATGGTGGACTGGTGATTAGGCTTTGCTGTTATCTCACAACTGGATGGTCAGATAAGGGTTAAAGGGTCCACCTTTTTTCACATTGTATTTATGTATTAACATAAAAACCAAATAATATCTATAATATCAAACCCCTTTATCTTGTAACTCCTGCCTCCTTACTTCTTTTATACCCGTCTGTCTCTTAAGATCCGTAAATAAAAAAATAAAATTTAAAAACTTTTCAGTTTTATTTGAATGGTTTCTTGTCTTTTATCATTTTTATGTAAATTTTAAGCTTATTTGCTTTTCCTTAAACTATTATCCTTCAATATTTAATGTTTTCATTTAAGTCTCTACTAATGTAAGGTTCTTTTTACGTTTTCAAATTGTCTTTCTCTAATCTTTTTAAACTTTTGGAACAACTTTTATTTGTGTGGTTCTGAAATTTCAATCTCAACAGTTTTTCTGAATTTAACTTGAATTTTCACTCCATTCTGCACATTGTGAAAATTTAATAAAACATTAGGTTTTAAAAGATTTTCCCCCCAAACTTTTAATTAAAACAAAGTGTCTCTTTCACTAACTTGCTTGGTAAACTTTCTTTTTAACTTTATTTCACCTCTTTCACAAAATTTTTGGTAAACTTTCTTTTAACTTTGTTTTATTTCACCTACCTTAAATTTTAAGATTTTCTAAATATTCTATGTTTAAACACCAGTAATAATTTTGAATCATTTTAAAATCAAAAAAATATTTTTAACTATTTTCTTCTAAAAATATTTAACTTAAAGTTCTTAACATTTAAAAACGTTCTTTCAAAACTTTTAAAAATGGGTTCTTTAAAAAATGTTTCTCTTTTAAAGCTTTAAATTTTTTCTTTTAAAATATTTTTTCAGTATTTGGCTGGTTACCCACAGCTGGTACATCCATTCTAAAACCTTTTTTTTTTCTAATGAATGTTCCCAGACTCTCCACAATATTTTTGTAGAAATAAATGGCATATAGTAGTGTCAGAATATCTCTTCCCTCACCTTTTGCCTTTTTGAGCATTCTTTTCACTTTAACTATATTCACTGTGACCATTTTCAACCTGGTCTCCCTCCCTATCTCTTAATAAGGCTGAATGGTCACTGGTTAGTATTCAGTTCTTTTCTTCTACAGACCCAGGGGCCATAGTAAAATAAGTCCTTTATATCCAGGTGCCACATGTCATATATAGGTATTATTGTCATTGTCCATTCTAAGTAGATTTTCCTGTTACTTCAAGAGGTGCTCATTGTTATAAGGGTATTGTTATAATTGTCCATTCCAGGTAGATTTGTGTGTCACTTCAGGATCCTTAACCTAATCATTTCTTTGAATTTTTTTTATGGTTAGCGCTCTGGTAAGACTAGTCTTTCTCTAGACATTGCTTGTGGTAGAATAGTAAATACCCTTCACTGTAGAGTAAGTCCTCAATGGTAGCCTTGGTGATGATGGCATCATCACAGCTGAACCACTGATCCTCTTGTTGACGGATGAAGCTGGTGTAGTGGCCACTTTCCAAAGTCCCATGGTGGTTAATCACTGCAAATAAGGAATACTTATTCTCATCAGACACACAACTTGTTGGTGGCTGGCCATCTTTCATGATGCTCTCTTTAGTAGAGGCCAAAAATGGAGTCATGTCCAGCTCCAGGGGAAAAGAGATAAAAGTATTAATCTTTCGCCTCTGTTTGCCTACATGTTCAAACCGCTTGAGGTGAAAACAGGCCACCTTAGGCAATTTCTTCATTGTGAGCTGTTTGGTAGATTCTTGGTAGCTTTGGCAACTACTGCACTTGATTTTGGCACTGCTTCCTAGGGGCTCTGGCCTTGTAAACCACTGTAGGCAATCTGTAAGGGAGGGGATTCCTGGTATATGGTCATCCCTGCTCATTGTACTGTCAGCCCACTCTGAGTTCTGGGAACTGAATGTGGCATAGGAACCAGGCAAATCCAAGCTGATGTCCCAACATGGGTCTATGGTGGTGGAGACACTGTGACAGGCTTGACATGTCACATCTGACTGTAAGCCACCTGTAAAGATTTGGTCTATGATGCAATTACAGCAGTTGGGATTGCTGGCTTCCTGTTCATCACTATCATCTTTGCTGTGTCTATGCAGCACGTCTAATATTGCAATAAGAAACTCGTGGGCATCCTGCTGCCTGTACCCTGCTAAATGTTCTGCATGAATCCATATCAGGTGCAGTAACTTATAGGGAATATGAGGAGTTCGGCTCCCAGAGTACATAGCATGAAAAAGTGAAGACATTTCACATACCAGACACAAACTGGGGCTTGTCATTATACATTTGTGCTTATCAGATAGGAAGAAATCCTTCAGCAGAGGAATATGAGTAAGTGCCTGCACAATACAATTCATAAAACAGGTGTTCCCAAGGTTGATTAGCCCTCTCAAGCCTACAGTATAGACTACCTTTTTTCTCCTCTTTTTCTTGGGTTTCACCAAATTGAGCTCCTGTTCCTTTGATTCACAGGTTGACTGATTATCTTCAACCCCCAATGGCATAAACTGTTCATAGGAAAATTCTGTTGAGGTGGAAGTTAATCCTTTCATAATTTTCTCTTTTGTTTCTTTGGCAATCTGTTCTATATCTTTGTCATATACATAATCCTTACACATAAAGCAATATATAACTCCATGATAGAGGTCTACTGCTAAATTGTGCTGTTTGGCTTCTGCATGTTTATGAATATGTTTCTCAGTAAAGCAGCCAAAATAAACACAGGACAGACAAGAGTGTAGTCTGTTCATATGGGTACTACATACATGACAGATGCATGACTTTGCCTTACGTTTCCTAGTCTCCGGGGTTCCACTCCAAACGAAACGCTGGTAGATCATTCGCAGATTCTTCTGCCAGTTTTTGGCTACTTTAAAGCTCACCACATGAGAGCAGCCTGTGGGACCCTGATCAAACTCAACTTCCTGCAACCAGTCCCCAAAGCCGCCTGGATCGCTAAAGCCGCCTAGGTCACTAGGGCAGCTTCTCCGTGTCTGGGGCCTGGATATAGGCCTGTATCTACGCCGGGATCGGCGCCAAGCCGGGGCACGCGATGGGGGCGGCGGTGGCGGCGGCGGGAGCCGGATTGGAGGCGGGGGTGGGACTAAGAACCTTAGAGGGCCGCGGGAGCGGGACTGGGGCCGAGGGCGGGGCTTGCGGCGCGGGCTAAAGGACGAGATGCTGCTGTGATAGGAAGAGGGGGTTGGTAGGAGCACCTTCTCATCGCCACCGCTGCTCCATGGCAAGTTCTCCTCATGCGCGGGTTTGGTCTCTTGTTCAGACTCCAGCTTCATTTCGGCTTCCTGGACCGCGTATGTCTGCGCTGCCCCCATCGCCTCCTCCTCCATTTTCCCCGCCTTCTCAGCCGCCTGCTCTTCAGAGGCTCCTCCCCCGCCGCCCGAACTCAAGCCCGCATCACAGTCAGAGGACCGGGAAGCTTCTGGAACCTGGGCCATGATCAGCCCACTTCCAGGCGGGTGAAGAAATGCGTTTGCAAACGACCGGCGCCTGTAGATGAAAGGAGATAGGAACTTCTGAGAACGAGATGCCCGGCGTCATGGCCGCAGTGCGCCGCTATCGCCCTGGGACCCCTCCCACTGCCCTTAGAGCTCCGTCTGCCGCTGCCGTGGGCTCCACCCCCTTAACTCAGGCTCCCGGAGCTGGTGTGCACCCGAGATGGTTACCTGTTTAAAAGCAATCGGTTCATGCGGCTATTGGGGCGGGGGCGGCGGAAAGGAAAAGGAGAAAAGGCGGGGGATGGGAAGGGGAAAAACAGCCTAAGCTTTCAGGGTAGAAAGAATGGAAACTTCGTTTTAAAAGGCACCACCCTCTGACTGCCCTTTTCTTGCGCAGCCTCGCATTGGTACAGCTTTCTCTGACGTTCTTTCCCTGTATCTTAAAAAAAACAAAAAACAAAAAAAACCACAACCCACTAAGGTCAACATCGTATCTTAAATATGGCTGAAAGGAGGCTACCTTTGAGAAAGGGACTCAGAGAAAGAAAGTGACCCGCAGCCCCGCCGGCTCCTAGCTTACCTATGCTTCTGGGCCCGGTCTGCTCCATCTTCTGCCCTTCCCACCAAGCTCACTTTCGGTACTCCACGCTCTAGCGCCCTCTCTTGCTCTTTCGCTCCTGTGCTCTCGCACCTTTTTTCTCGCTTCAGTCCCTTCATTTCCTAGGATTTCTCCTACTGTTCAAATCGCTTCTCACTCCCTCCAAGCGTCGCTGGCTCCAAGCTACCGCCATCCACGATGCACGACCCGCAAAGTCTCAGCTTCCTTCCCGAACCGTCCCCGCAACGCCCCCAGCCCCGTGTTTGTATAAATGCCTTGGTTACCTTGGGCCCCAGGCGCGTGATATGGAACGTCAGCAGCTGCTGCTGTCCAGGCGCTTCTCAGCCAGTCTTCTCTCCTGACCTCTCCTCAGGGCTGGTCACAAGGGGGCCGCCCCCTGGTCCCTCCCCTCTCGACGTGCGGGCCCCCAGCCCCGGATTCAGCCCTCCAGCAGTGATGAATGGCAAGGCTGTCCTGCTCCTGCAGACAAATCTCTTCCTGAAACAGATTTTTTTTTCCCCCTGGAGGCAACAACAACGATAGATTTTCTGAAAAGCTCCAGGAATGGAGGGTTCAGGCTTCACCTGCCTTTAAGCCCATTATTTTCAGAAAAACAAACAAATAATCAAGATTCAGATGGGGAGGTATGGCAAGTCCGGCATAAATCCTTCCAAGACCCTTTAGAACCTGATCTCTGGGAGTCAAGTGGAGAGGGGATATTATACTAGAGAAAAGGGGAGGAGAAGCATGAACAAGGGATTAAAGACCCAAACCCAGCTTCTCACTGCCTGTGTGACACCAGGCACCATACTTAAACTCTCTGAGCCTTAGCTGTAATCATTTGTTAAGTGAAAATGGAAATAATCTTAACATTTAACAACACTCTCAGTGGATGTAAAATTTTAAATAAAAAGGTCTTTATATCAGCCTTTACCTTTCACCGCAGTCTTTCACTGTCCCACCTTGGGATCTGCACACAACACAACACCAGGCAGTCTCACAAAAGTTTCTGCTCATTTGGCCCTAGCATCCCAACGAGGCAGTTTATATACTGGAGCCGGAAGCCAACATTGATACAAATCAACCTTCACTAAGAGGCTAGGGTGCATTGTAGGGGGCACACATAACAATTTGTATCCACACAGATGGTTCATAGGCCTGGAGAACTTTCCCACCCTCTGACAGAAACAAAATTCAAGGTTACAGCCCCCAGGAAAGCTGCTATCTACAGGTCATGCTGCCCTTCCTGTCTACTCTCAAGATTATTGCTTTTTACCAGCGAAATATTTAGTGGCATAGGAATCTCTCCGGGACACTTTTGCATCCCACTCTCCCTTTATACCTCAAGATTAAGATTTCTCTCTCCCAGGGTCAAATGTAGCATCTACTAGATGCCTCCTTTCTATCAATGTCAATGATTTATAACACTCGGTAGTAGATCCATGAATCTTTCTGAATCTTCTGACCGAGTGCAAAGCAACATGGACTCTGAGAAAAGAATTGCCTTAATTCTCCAATTCCCCACAGTGATTATAGGTTAAGAGGTTGAAATAAGAGTCAGGCTTCTTCAGAGGAACTTCTCAGCAGGAAAAGAACATTATAAAACTTTCACATCATTATAATGTTTCCAACCATGGGCAAACTGTGTATCCTCTGTGAAGCTCAGAAAGCCCTAGTAAGAGAATAATAATAATAATAAGCTGATAATAAGATGTCTCATAATAAGCTCTCCATTTCCGTAGCAAATACCTAATACCAATCAATTTAAGAGAGGAAGGGTTCACCTGGCTCATGCTTTCCGAGGTTTCATTCTATGTTCATTTGGCCCCTCCACCTTTAGGCATGTAGTAATAGTACATATTGCTGGTAGGGTGTATTGGAGCAAAGCATCTTAACTAACTCATGGGAAGAGGCCCAGGATGTGAGGCGTCAGGGGACTGATTATAAAGGCCTAGACACATTAAACATGAAAGTGACATTTTCCTGCTCCATTTTTTACTACCACTTGTGACAATGGGTCTAGTAAACTGTGTGAAATAGTAATAAATAGCAGGATTAACTTCATAACATGTGTGCTACATTATGATTTGTGTGTGTGTGTGCGCGCGTGCTAGCACTAAATTTAGAATTCAGGGCCTCAAATAATCACTTGGACTTCTCAATCAATGCTAGTGCTCTATCACTTCAGCCACAACTCCACTTCAGGCTTTTTGCTTGTTAATTGGAAACAAGAGACTCGAAAACTTTTTCTGCTGGCGTGGAACCATGATCCTTAGATTTTAGCCTGCTTAGTAGGTAGGATTACATGTGTGAGCTACTGCCACATAGCAGCAACTTTTTTTCAAACAAACCAATGGAATTTCAAATTTTTGGCAGGATTACTGTTTATAATGAACATTCATATTTGGAAATTTTTATATAGAAAACACAATACAGAAGGGGTAATAACATAGACAGTTACCTTTTTTCCTCCAAAATACAGGAGTACTCTATTCTGCTTCCCCCCCACCCCCACTGAAGTGAAACATTTTTTTTCCATAATAGGTCTTGTTATAATGGTGTACTCTCATTAGGAAAGTCTTTTGCATTTTCTGGGAGCATACAGAAAATCACCATGATTTCCAGTTTGCTTTATCAAGCACTAATTATATTGACCTCTTGTTTTACTTCAGGGTGATGGCAAGAAAGTATATACCCTCCTGACAAAGGAGACATTTTACTTGCAGTGAGGGAAGGAATAAACACTCAAATCTCCAGAATGCTGTAGCTTTCAGGAAAGAAGCCTGTTGGGTAGTCACTCAAACTTTGAGTAGTGTCCTAACTAGAGAAGATGAGAATGTCCTGTTGAACTTGGTTGTTTTTGCGTTTGCCAGGAGGAGGTGAGGGTAGTGGTAGAGGTTTTCTTCGCCATGAGTGCTTAAGGAGTTTTCTTTTCCAGAAACAACTCACTTGTTGCCAAGCAAGCACTTGTTGTCATGTATACATGCCATGCAACAGCAGAGATAAGCCAGCTGATAGGCCCCCGTGCCTCTAGTGAGCTCTTCAAGGCCCCCATGTGTTTTGGGGGAAACAGCACATGATGTTCATCATTCTCATCCTCTGTATGTTTCCAAACGGTGAAGAATGTCCTTTTGGTCTCACATGGTCAAAATAGGTTTTGATGAGCAAGGGGACAAGTGGTTGTGTTTTCTGTGGAAGGAGACAGTGGCAGCCATGTTGTAGTCTCATGTCTCACCACAAGGTCAGTACCTGCTTTGGCATGATGTAAACAACCTGAAAAATGGTCACAATCCATTGTCCAAAAAGACATAAACTCTTTACCTGACTTTAGTAACTGTAATCCCTCCGTATATCACCTTTACTTTATAATGAGAAGAGCAAATTTAAAATAAATAAGTAAAAGAAAATGTTAAAATGGCCATAGTCAGCAGAGCACTAGTGGCTCATGCCTGTAGTCCTAGCCACTCAGGAGGCTGAGATCTGAGAACTGGGGTTCAAAGCTGGCCAAGGCAGAAAAGTTTGTGGGACCTTATCTCCAATTATTCAGCAGAAAGCTGGAAGTTGAGGTTTGGCTCAAGTGGTAGAGCACTGAAGTGAAAAAACTAAGGACAGTGTCCAGACCCCGAGGTGAAGCCCCAGCACAGGTACACAAAGAAAAAATGCTCATAATGCTTTACTCTGTAAATCTCAAAATAGCAAACATGTCAGCAGATTAGACTGCTTTTTATCAATGGTGAGCACAAAGTGTGTGGCTGAATGAGCAGGTTAGATCTATTTCTTGGATAAGAACTAATAAGCTGAATTTTCCATTTGTCTGGTGTTTGAAATCAGTGGTTGAGAAGCAGAGTTCAGTGTGTCATAGGACATGATGTTAAGAATAGTGTGTGTGTGGGGTGTGTGTGTGTGTGTGTGTGTGTGTGTGTGTTCTCTTTCCTTCTGACTTTTCATTTTGTTTTCTTGTGGAGGCTGCTGGTCACTATGTAGCCCAGGCTGTCATCAAACTCACATTCTCCCTGAGGGCTGGGATTCCAGGCATATGCCCCAATCCCTGGCAATCTTCTGTGTTTCTGCATCCATGGTTTCATTAAATCTTCACAGGACAAAGAGGAACACTTGAAAATTCATTTTGAAATCAAATTGCCCAGAACCCAAGGACATGATTTGATGGGTCCCCTTGCAATGAGGCCTCACAGGAGAATCTGTAGAAAACATAGCAGGTGGTGAGATCTCCAGAAGAATGTTGATATCATTAGGATAAAACATAGGACCAGCACCAGTCCTGTTGCAGCCCCTATTTGAGAGGCTGCTATAAAGTTTCTGAAATATTCCCCTCAATGGCTTATCATGAAGAGTAAAGCCTGAGACTTGGCATGTTCTGCTTAAGTTTCTTAGGGCACAGGAATCTCAGTCACTTTCTACACTTTGAATCAAAACCTTTGTAAAATTTTCATTTAATGTGAAATTAGGCAAGAATTCCATGTGTAATAATTTACCAGACTTCATTGTCTGGTTGAGGTAAGAGAGCTAATGAGAAATTACTTAGAGAAGCATATATTGGAATTTGAGACATGTTGCCGATCATAAGGCTAGGGAGAAAGTCTGGAATTTCTCTCAACATTTCACAGAATTTCACAACTTTGATGATAATTCTGATCAATCATCTCTGGGTGGTACCATAAATGGCATAAAGAAAATACCCCCAACCATTTTATTAATACTTTTTGTCTACCCCCTGACTTCAGGGCCTTACCAGCATACAAGGTAAACATTCTGAGAAGGTAGAAACTGAAGAAATGACAGTAGGAAGAATATCTGACCCTGCCTGGCCTCCTCACAGCAGGCAATGGGCTGTGCAAGAGTTTCCAAATTCTGTCAGCAGTGTCCATGCACTTTGTGAGAAATTGGCTGTTCGTCTACCCTGTCTATCATGGGCTCGATTGTTTTTACCATAAATCATTCATTTAGAGGACTAAAAGCACTTTATTTCAATATTTTGTTTACAGGTTGATTTGTGTACTCATCTGATGGGCAAGCCCTTTGTTCCTCAGTTTGAATGTCACCATTTCCTCTAGGTATGTCTAGATTTACTCCCTATGCTGGTTCTCCATTGGAGGTGGAAAGAGTTCCAGAAATCAGGGCCCATTCTCTTCACCTCTCAGTTGCTTCACAGATTCCTC